TTAAGAGTAAAATAAAACAGAGACAGATGGTGAACGGACAACGCGAGATAAAGCGAAAAATTAAAAAGTGTACAAAATAAAGGTAAAAGTAGAGAGAAAGTAGAGAACGTGGAACGTTCGTAATAAATATCGCCATGATTTTCAACTGCAAACTCGTTGATTTATTTACAATCTCTTGTGTGATGAGAATTGATTGAAACCAAATGAATTTACTGCGACGTCCCTTTACGCATTCATAGGATTTGTTCGAATCAATGCCGACCATCCATCCGCATTCCGGTCGCCGAAGGCCAAGAAACGGGAAACGCATTTAGGATTGCGTAAAGGAAATACGACGTCGTTTGGGAAGTTCGAGCTCGATTTAATCAAATCGAACGACGCACGTCGCGGTTGGTTATCGATATAGGAATTGTCACAGAGTCATCCCGCTCGCGTGTCCATTCGCTGCATAACGATGAATCCGCGCAAATCGCCGGCATCCCGGATGCGTCGTCACGCATTCCACCAACTACGGAGTCACACCGTCAATTGTCCACGGTCAGTCGATATAAACGCGCATAGTTTGCACGTTCGAGTTTTTTCGTCATACAGACTGGATTGAACGATTCCGCGAGAGAACTTTGCGCATCCAAACTACACGGCTTATAAAGGTGAAAAATGTTGCATGCTATACATGGACATTTCGCTTGAAAAATGCATCTCTTTGAGTTATTGTTGGTGGGTTGATTCGCACCAACCCACATATCTCACGGTATTAACAAAAAAACAATACATATATCGATCATTTGCTACAACAACGACAATTAAAAAATTGTCGTTGTTTAGTTGCTTGTAAAAAGACGAAAATATAGAGAAAAAAGGAAGAATATAACTCAAAATATATTTTTATTTTTCTACAGTTAGTTATTACGTCAAAATTTTACTTTAAAATTGATATTACATAGAAAAAAAGAATATTCTTATTTTGAGAATATCTTTATTTTCGACATATAAGGCTTGAAATAAGATTATATAACGTTAAATCGACATAATTTGCTTACATGAAGATGTTTGAACTAGTTACACCAAGAAGAATATATTCTCATTATTCAATAATAATTTTCTTGATTTGAGAGGAAATAATATCGGATAGAAAATTACAATATATTTAAATCGAAAATTAAAATATCTTTAAATTAAAATTAAATTATATTTTTATTTGACTATATCTTACACTTGAAAAAAACTGTTCATATTATTGAATTGTCTGATTGAAAAATTTCGTAATAACAATTCCTTAGCCTTATTTCGAATGTTCTTTAATATTTACGAATCTTGTTGTATTGTTAAAAAAAAGTTATCATATTAGTGATTAAACGATATCAATTATTATTCTATAATATATTCCAAGTAACTTTATTATGTCATATTTAATAAAAACAAATATATTCTTAAAAGAAGTTTAACGTTTTAACACTACATAAAATTAGAGCAAAAATAACAGTTTTACCTCTTCTTGATATGATTCTTTAAATGTTGAAAGAAAATACTGTTATTATCAAAATAATCATATTGAGCTTTTCAGGTAACTATTATAACTTTGACATAAGAATATAACATTGTTGAAAGTTGAGATTATCAAATTCTTTAAAAAAAACTTTATATTGTTGCTTATATAGGAAACAATGATTGCGTTGAATGAAATATAATCATTTTAAGTTGAGAATAACTTTTTTCTGTATACAGAATTTTAATAATTAAAATATTTAAACTTATATATATATATATATATTTTTTTTTTTCCAGAAATCTTTGTTTCTTAAATTATTGCAACAGATGAGCGGTATATTCGCACGTCTGTAATTTCATGGGCAGAAAATGCGAACCGATTGTTGATTCAAAACAAAGTGTAACAGAGTAGAATTGCATTGAAGATGACTGGGAACAGAGAAATAAACTTCCGGAGCCATTATATATAGAAGTCACAAGAAAATAGTTCGTATTTTCGAAAGCGATTTTTCGTTTGCTCGCCGATTATTCTTGCACACGGAATGAAACACAAGTCTTCTGAAATCTTTTATCATTCTCGGCATAAAGTTATTCCCGCCGGAGAAGTTACCACATCTCGCGATATACTCTATGCATAATAAGACTCTCATTTTAGTTTTATTGCTCATGAATTTCTCAATTGCGTAGCCCGGATGCGACAGGTTAAAACGGACCAACTCCATAAACGTCTCGCTGCGTTGTAACATCCACTTGTGATGTAAAGAGGATAAATAAAAGAAGCCATCTGTGGTTCAACGAAACCTATATGCAAGGCACAGGTGTTTAAGGATATGCAATGTAATCTTCAGCTCTCAGATATCCTCGCTTCTACACGAACGAGTTTATGAGCCGCACCGACAAACAGAGAAAATCTCGGCCATATCAATCTGCAAATATGGTCCGATCGTGACTGGAGAACGGAATTTCAAATCGCGCGCGACGTCTTTATCATCGGGAGAGTCGCGCGCTATCGGTCCACGCACACTCGACAGATTGAATACCGCGTCTATTATGCGCGAAGTGCGAGAGGAGTTTCCTGCTGCGCCCATATGGCATCGCGCTGGGTCGTTTGCATTCCCGGCGTCAGTCTGAGCGTGAACGCAGAATTAAACCGTGAACGATCGTCACACGACAGATATTCCATCGATTCGATCGTCGGGCAAATGCCAGACGTGCGTGTAGCCGGTACGCGGATCCGCGCGATTTGTTCCCTCGTATGCGCGCGCGCGCGTTCATTGTCCGTTGAATCGCCCTGGTCTCTCTACAAGTCCGCGATGATTCTCGCCAACAACGGATTGCCAACGCATTCCGCATCGATTGAATTCCGGATGATCGCTACCGATTTTCTCAACAATAGACAATCGACTCTCATTCCATTCTTTCTATCGCGGGAAACCTGTTCGTAAAACGATTCGTGTTACGAGTTACGAGAGCGCGCGGGAGAGAAAGAAAAAAACTAGGAGTCACTCCGCGCGAATGCACTCGAATTGCGTAGCCGCGATCATCGCCGCGAGTTCGGTTCCCCAGTCCAATGGTCCGGAGCCTTACGTAACCGAACGCTACATCCTCGCCTGGTTCCGGAGGTTGACTTAATTGCGCCTGATAAATTGTCCTTTCCTCTTTCTCTCGTCAGCTCGTTCTCAAACGCAATGCCCTGCTATCACCGCGCGCCGCCACCTCCCCAGAGCGTCACGCGTTTCCGTTCTGCCACTCGTTCTGTGTCTGTCAATTTCATTCTGTACTATTCCCATGTTCACTGCATGCATCCGGCATAGCGAGGACTTGCCAACGTGAGATTCGATCGTCCAAGTTTGAATCTACTCTAGAATCTCTTGCATTTCGCATATTTCATTTACTTTCAAATAAATTTCCTGGAGGGAGGAAATAATTTTGAGAGTGTTTAAAGCTTTTAGGAAAATAGGCGAGTCTTGTATATAGATGTACAGGGTGAGGAAAAAAGTATGGAAACCCTGAAAAATCTCAAAAAATATAAGTTTTACAGAAAATGATCCTCCGATCTTGTCTTAGTTGGCTGGATCATCCTCCGATCTTATTTTCGGGTGTCTATTACTTCTTACTGTAAAATACTTAATAACTTTGAAACGACTGACCCAAAATGAATAAAATTATAGTGCTTTGAAAAGGTATTGAGAAGGACTATAAGAATATGTAATAAAAAAAGGGTGTTCCATTTAAAAAGTTCAAGGTGACTTAACCTCAACGACGCCAGCCTGGGTTAAACTGATCAGACAATTGAATAGACCTTTTTGAACCCTACAACTTTTATTTGAAACGTTTTTCTGTAAAACTTATATTTTTTGAGATTTTTCAGGGTTTCTATACTTTTTCCTCACCCTGTATATGTACATATATACACAAATTTTAATCCTAGAATTATATGGTACACATACATCGACTCTATGTTGAGTTTCTCAGACCTAATTGAATTTTAATCAACGTATACATATTATGTTATTGTGACATTATTTAATAATTTATTATATTTAATAATATATAAGATTTATTACATTTAATAATATTATAATACCCACTATTTCACTTTTACAACAAAATATTGCATTGTTACATATCAAAAGAGCAATGGTAACTCTGGCCAATCTCTTCAGTTAAATAATATTTTGTTATTTTTAACTTCTATGTGTGTCAAAATGTAAATCAATTCATTTCTGCACGTGGTTAGCTTCAAAGTAAACAACGTTCATATTAATGTATGCACTTATTAGCATATAGCAAATAATAAACTAAATGTAAATCGAATTTAATACATTTTCTTGAGTTAAATTGTTTAACTGTATTGTTTTAGTTAAATTAATCTGTAAAAATGATTAAAAATAACTCAAATTAAGTTTAATTTGACATTATGGATTTAACAGTTTATACAGTAAGACTCCTGTTCTTTATGTAATTTTAACTACAATATTCTCTTCGTATCTAACTACTTACTGTGGTGGAAAACTACGTTTACAGAAACATAATCCGGCGTAGACATTTGGTTTAACGTAATTATACTTTATACTGTGTAAATCCTATTCAATTCGATTTGCGTTTATATAATCAATCGTAAAATCTTAAGGAATCGTATATATCGTTTTGTGCATTCTTCACTTATGACTGGTAACGGCTGACTGGTTGTTCGCCGAAGGCGAGCGATAGAAGCTATATGATAGGCATTACTCAATCCGATATCCATACTAGTTTCTCACATATTTTTCTCATCTTTCCTATTCAAGCGAGACAGACGTTTCCTGAACGGCCCCCCCATACCGATCCCTCGCAATCCAAGGATGCTTGCCGAGATTTCACCGTGTACACGCAAGGCTCAATTAGCGTAACGTCTCATATGAAATCTCGCTTCAGAGTCTAACTCGCGTACTATAATAATAAAGGCTTCTTGGAACATATATATGTAATCATACGATAGAATTTTCACATGCACGTTTCTTTCTCCGCAGCGTCCGGCTCGGGATCCGTGATAGGCAGAGACCCGCTTCCGCCGAGAGCCGTCAGCACGTCTCATCTGCCTCAAAGAACGCTGACTCAACCGCCGACGGTGGTGTCCACTCTTCCGCTACCGAGAAACAGTACCGGCAGCAACCATCGACAGCAACCGCTTCCGCTCCATCACTCGACTCCGCAGCAGCAGCAACAGCAATCGCCTATGAGGCAGCTGGAGAACGAATCCACTGTCCATATGCTGAGAGCCGCCAGCAACGGCGACATCGGCAAATGCCCGGGCATGTAAGTAGACTCAAAGCCGACCCTCCCAGGTATTTGTATAACGAAGTTTCGGCACACTGTAATTAAACCGCCGCCCCTATCGCACCCCGTAATAGGGAAACTTATTAGCGAACGCGTACTCGCGCGGCCGCAACCCTGCCATCCAATTCTGCTACCTAAGTTGCTCGACTGTTGGGTTACTTTGAGGTGGTAACTAGTAGAAATGCCTCGAGCAGCCGAATGTCTGTACCCTTGTGTGTGGAAAGATCACACATTCGACTGTAGACAGATATATTATTATGACGCAGAATTATATTAGGAGTATAAATAAGTTTCCGCCGTTTGACAAAAGATGGCGCCACCAGTATGTTATGGTTAAAATTGTCTGCTGTAAAACGTCATATCGTAAGGTTGGACATCTGGCAACAACATAACCTTGAAATATTAGCGATTTTCTATCAGCATCATGTATCTTTTTTCGTGTGAAAATGTGTCGAGTTTTGAGCTGAATAAGCGTCATTTGCGGGAGCTTCTTTAATTTGAAGAAATCTATAGCTGAGGCGCATCGATTGCTTGTAGAAGCATATGCAGATGAGGCTGCCTTAAGTGAAAGAAGTTGCCGTGAGTTTAAGAACGGTAAATTTGACGTTGAAGACAAAGAACGTAGTTTCGACGTTTTTGTTTTTTCGACGTGGAATCCACCAATTACCAGAAAGATGGAAAAAAGTAATGTCTAGCGATGGACAATACTTCGAATAAAACGTTAGGTACAGTTCTTTCACAATAAATGCCCAATTTTTGATAAAAAAACGGCGGAAACTTATCTATACACCTAATATCATTTATCATATACAACTAAAGGCACAACCCTGAAGACTCTAATCTCATTCTATTGCTTTTAAGGCAAAATTATTCAACTATAGTGTGTCGAAACAGACTGTAGAGAACAAGAGCATAAATTAATCACCATAAAAGGCAGTGGCGTGCTCATTTCCACCTAAACACACAGCGTGATTAGCTATCGCCCGATTTAGTTCGTAAATAACTCGCTACGTATAGGTTCGTTCATTTAAGTCGCTGTTTAATTACTCGCCGTTTGCTTGTGCAAACAACAACGCGCTGTTAGTTTAACCGCGAAATGTACAACCGATCAAATTTCCTGCGCGTGTTCTTGACAAGTCATAACGCGAGGATTGTACAATCGTATGTAAATACAGTAATTAATTTAGTTCCTTGCATAATGACGTACTTATTATAATTATATAAATGCACGCTCTTAAAATTTATTAAAGGATGTTTACATTCCTTCGATTTAGTTGAAAAGATCTTTTTTACTTAAAAAAACAAGCACAAATATTTTTTAAATCTATTTTAAGATAAATAATTTTTTATAATTTTTTCGTTTTAAATTTTCGTTTTCGTGGAAAGACTAGCTAGACAGATGTCGCTAATTAGACCGAGGGGCGTTGCGATGTCATAATCGACGTGAGAACTACACTTGAGCTCACCGAGGCTATATTTATTGCCAAGCGTGAGCTAAACCGCGTCACCTTGGTAATACAATTTTCTCGTATGTATTTGTGTCGCGGTTTACCTCCACGGTGAATCTAATTTCTGTTGTATCGCGTAACCACGTTTATTTGTTTCGGATGGTAAACATTTTTCTGATAATTAATCGACAAGGCTCCTGTCGATATAAATTGTAAGAAGATAATGCGCTTGTCGTAGTATCAATTTGGGATCGCGGAACGTCGATTCGGAAACTGCCAATATTTATTTAACGTATTTAATGACCATAAATTCATAACGTTAATGCCGAAGGCCGCATAGGCCTCTGCATAACGCATAATGCTTAAAGTGTAAGAGAATCAATCAATCAGAGTCTCTTATTCTTTTTTTTCATGGAAAGGAAGGAAATGAAAAACTTTGATTGGTTTTTGTTTTCTTATATCATACATCATGCGTTATGCGTTAAACTGTAATCACACTAGCGATTGTGCGATTGTAATTGACAATTGAGGATTACTTTTCAACCAATTAGAGCAAACCGATTGCTTTGCTCTAACTGATTAAAAAGTAATCCTCAATTGTCAATTACAATCGCACAATCGCTAGTGTAATTACGGCTTTAGGCAAAACTCCGTGCTTGCGCCTTTATGCAGTGTATTGTTAGAATCGAAGGAGCAGTGGAAGAAATAACTCAATTCTTGAAATTAACATTTTGTTATTTTGTTACTTCCATGTGTGTCAAAATGTAAATCAATCCATTTGTGTAGTTATGTTTAAAGTAGATAACTACAGAAGAGAAAATAGTGTACATTAACGTATAATCAGTAAATAATGAACTAAATTTGAATCAAATTTAATAATACATTCTCTCGAATTAAATTGTTCAACTCAATGTTTTAGTTAAATTAACGACACGTTGATTAAAAGCAGTGACGACCTATAGAAATGATTAAAAATAACTCAAATTCGGTATAAATTGATATTTATAAATTTAACAGTACAAAACGATGATTTTTGAGAACCACTGTACGAGAGCATCGTATTTTCTTTTTTAAACGTTCAGCGACTTAATTTTCTCCCTTCCATAGCTTTTTTCCACATTAGGTCACTTTAGGATATCATTTCAAGCACGGCGGCCTTCTACGAATCGGCCCACTGACCTGTTCGTCAAATTTCAGGGTTATAGGTAATGACATGAGGGACCTGAGGTTAGCATCGCCGAGCGGTCATTCCACTCAGCGATTGATCAGCCCGATCGGACACTTGCGGGTCACTTCGTTAAACGACCATCGTGTTTCCAGTCCCAGCGACAGCGAGATACGCGTGCACAGTCCAAGTAAGTTTTCCTTTGTACTATAATTTATCGATCTGCTCGATATTCTCCACGGTCTTCACGGTAACTTTTCGATGAACCGACCTATGAACCAAGCAGGCGGCGAGGCGATTAATTGCCGACGGCTACTCCGGAGAATCCGGCTTTATGAAAGAACTCAAACTTTTGCTTCGAACTCGAAGTTGGTTAAGGCGCAATTAATATATTGTTGATCGTAACACGAATCGCTTTCGCGACGGTAAATTTGACGGGTAGGAAAAAGAATTACGACGTCGACCGGGTTTGTCGTAATAACGTCTCCGAGCGAGTTAGCGCGCCTATATCGCCTTTCCTTCTTTTCATAGCGTACAAGAGTGTAAACGCTAATTAATAACGTTGACAAAAACAATGCCAAAGGCAACAACGTCCACGTTGTTCATAAAATGATCCTTCAACGTTCCGGACACATTGCGCTATGCGGAATTAATGGCTCGCTAAGCGCGCTAATTAATCAGATTTTTTTCAAAGTATTCACGATAAATTTTCGTAAAACTTCGCGTATAATTATTATCTTAATTTCGTAGCACAAATTCTGCAATACGCAGTGAGGAAACATCATGTATTACCAAAGGTTTTTGTTAAAAAAAAAATAGTAACAATATAGGCAATAAGAGTATACTACCCGATTTTGGAGCCGCAATTATTACTTAATATTATATTTATTACATTATTAAACATTCAAATTGATTAAACATTTCAATTTTTTCGGATCAGACGTTTCGATCACATTTCGGGCCATCCTGAACAATGATAATGAAGTTTGTTTTATGCTCAAACAGTGATCTCTCTGGTCAAATATGGTACTCTGCAGTCACTTTGCAGCATTAAAATTCGTTAAATTGTGAAATTGGTTAAATTGATCTGGCCTCCAATTGTAATGAACGTAAGACCAGTCTGAATTATAAAATACAATTAATAAAATTTGCAGTCATAATGTATGAAAGTCAGAAGTATGAAAAATGTAGAACGAATGTTAAAGAAATGATTGAACCTGGTTATTAAATATCTGCATCATTAAATCATCCTTGAAGATGTCCCGAAATGTGTCAAAACGTCCTTTCCGAAGAAACTGTAATGCTTAATAAATGAATTTAATTATGACAAAAGATAATAAAATAATTGCACTCCAAGTATTGTTGCTACTTTTAAAATTAAGTGTCCAATGTACCTATGTTATTTTATTATGCAGAGTATGTTCATATTTTATGTTAAATATTCCACGTAATTTATCACTACAGCAAATCTCTACCTCCAATATTCAAAGCTGGTCTCTAACCCGGCTCGTCTGGAACGTTCGGTTCGTGCGAACTTACGAATGATGAACGGAGCCTCGCTCGGCGGATGAGCGATTAATACCCGCGAGATTAAGCGGCGATTTAACGTCTGCTCTGAATCGCGAGATTGCCGAACCGCCTGAAAAGCACATAAATTTAGGTCGAGAATTTCAGCGGGCGCCCGGGGTTAATTATCCGAAGATCCGTGGCAGTGCTGTCCCGGTAAGGTTTGTGTGCCACCCATCTAATGCACAGCGTGGAATAATGGAAATCTCGTGTGTATGCATCCTGTCTAACTACGCAAAGGTACGCATGATCGATATCGGATAATTCAACCACGGAGGAACACACGAATTGAGGTTGCACAATATTATCGTGCGAACATTACGGGGCGGCTTTAACGGAGAAATCGTAAGAGAGATCTTAATTAGACTATCCGTTATTCCTTTTCAATTGAAAAAAAAAATTGTAAGTTTGTAACGACGAATATTTTGAAGATGAATAAGTGATACGATTATTTCAGCCAATTCCCTTTCTTTCTCTCGACTGCGTTTGGAGAATCGAATCTGATGCTGAGAAAATCGGAAGGGCATTGTAATTTTTTGAAAACACGAACGATGCTCCTGGATGATATCTCCTGGCGAATATCTTCTTCCAAAAAGAATGGAGGAAGCAGCACAATTTAAATACCACGGTCCACCAAGAATTTTCTTTGTGCAATCCGATTGTATCTGTATAGGTACAATAGCTGCGCAATTTTCTGCGTTAGACGGAAGTCCGTGCTCCTCCATTTTATGACGCGTCTAACGGTCGCAGCTGCGGAACATTTCTGCAGGCATTTGAATATCCTATACAAGGCGTCCCAGATTCATTATCGTTCAGTCTAGCCACAGATTGTGAATAGTCAGAACAAGTATGCTAATGTCTCAATATCCATATACTTATCTTTCAAAAGATATTTAAAAAATGAAGAAAACTGAATTTATGATGAAGTAAAAGAATATATATAATATAATAATAATTTAATTGCACTGAAATGTATTGTATAATATCAAAAAATCATTAACTTAGTAAATTCTTGCTAAGAAAGCATTTTAAAATTCCTCAGAAAAATTCTGTGGCAATCTGTGGCTGAACATAATGCATTCCGCGACATCCTGTAACGGATGCAATATAATAACGAAAGGCAGTAGCTCCGACAGTTCCGGCGCTTTAAGGCGCTAATACAAACGACTGCCATTCACGTGATTAAAGAGAAAGTCAATCTACTCGATCGTTATTACAATGGGGGGGCAGAACAAAGAAAAAAATCTTCGAGAATATCAGTCGATTTCGATATTTCCGGTCTCACAGATCCTTTCGCTCGTTACAACACGCTCAGAAATACGCGACTTCCTCTTCCGACGGCTTTCTCCTGCGTAACTTGTCTTCCTTTCTGCTCGCAGGTGAGAGAAAAATGATCAGCCCGATCGGCAGGGAGGTCGACCGCGGCGGGGGCACGATGACAGGTCCAAGACAAGGCCAGCAGCGATCACGTGCGGATTGCAGCGAGCTGCTGCATAAAAGGGTGAGTAAATGCAATGAGCGAGTCATCTTAACGCCTTTTGGTGCGAAAGAGCGCCCCGTCTAGAGTAGAGCTCTGTATTTATAAAAGACTAGCGCAGACCTTTTATCTGAGCCGAATGCTCACAACTTTCTCATTGGTTACTTCGACCGTCATTTTTAATTCGATAATCTATAGCGTCCAATAGCGCTTAGTAATTATTTAATATGGTTATTGAGGCAAAAACATGGTAGATCTTTGCACTATTTTGTTTGCATGTAGAGCTCTAGTCTAGCGACCTTCCAATAAGAGTCTGGATACGAGTCCGTAGTTTTGTATCCAGGGTAGTATAGTTTTAACAAAAAAAAGTCTGTAAGAGAGAATAACGTACATTTGCTATTTCTTTTTCTTTCCCATTCTATTATATTTTTTCTTATCTATTTCTCTCTCTCAGAAATTGTTAAAACAAGGCGGACCAATCAAGGGTGGCTTTCTCACCCATGTCCAGATTCTTATTAGACGGTCTCCAATCCTGTCGATCCCGATTGGCATGGCAGAGCATGATGGATGGAGAGAGGAAATTCGCGCGTCCATTCGCGGCATCGATCGTGCAACGGTCGCGCGCGTGAATTAACCATGCCGTCGTCGCAACGGCCAGTCACTGCGAACGGGAAATTTATGGCCGGGGGACGATTGCGAACGCACACGCTTCGTAAAAGTGTCACCTGTATCACGCACCAAGTCTCGCTGATGGCTAACATCCGACGGCGATTCGGTTCGGTTCCGCGGTAAAGTCTGACATTCTCGCAAATTGCTTGTGGTTTGTTTACGAGCGTACGGCTTACTCTCTCTCTCTCTCTCCCTCTCGCTAATCCTCCAACTCGTAAAAATAAATTACGTATATACGTGTAGCACAGTAGCGCGTTCACAACACGAGTTTTATTGTCCGTGTAAAAAGGCGACGAGCTTGGAAATCTCCGATTTATATATTATTGGTGGACCGAGTTCTCGCGTCGAGATCGAATTACCGGAAACGAAATGGCGAATTCTTCCGCGAACGTTGCACGATCGACGGTTTGCCGTTTTTCTGTTTCTATATCTATAAATGTCTTTTTGTCTTTTGTCATGCAAACGCACACACTATCCGTTTTATTGACGCGGCATACCCTGCATATCATCATCGCAGCATGTAAATTCCATTAGCTCAATTAATTAAAATGTTGCCCCGAGAGAAAGACTCTCACCTTCGCATGTTACACACACGGTACGCATCGCGTTGTAAACGGGATTGATAATGTTTGCGCTACGATATATATCGTGCGCAATAAACGCCAGACGAATTTTCCTCGGCTCTTTCGACTTTTCAAAGCAAAAAACAATTTTAATTAATTTTGATGAAGTTATCGCTGATCAATTTCTCATGTAATTTACAAACAGGATCACATTGATCCATATGATCCTGAATACAAAATAGGTCATCACTGTCGTTTCGTCGTTAAATGCAGCAGATCATGGATCTTGCGATCAAAAATGAATAGGAAAAATGAAGTCAGCTGTCAGTCGAGAATTACACTGAAATTTGGTGATTTTTAATGATAATATCGGTACGTTATACATTTTCGTTACTTTTTTTTATCATATATAATATCTGTACTAATTGTAAGAGGAAAAATGTGTAGTATTTATGACTATAATTATAAGATAAAATAATTATGGGCAGAAACTTCATTTTTATATTTATTACTGTTATAATGTTAGTAATAATAACTATACATACCTATAGTATATATTTAAACATAAAAAAATTACACTATAAATTATGATAATTTGAAATATTAATACAGTAAAATATTAAAATATAAATGATAAATAAACATTTTTATTCAGTAAATGTAATAGCATTTATATAGTAAATATAATTTTTTTAAAATTCGTTTACTATTTATGTGGTAATAATAACTGAAAAATGTGTTTAGAAAAAACTAAAGATTTTTTAGCAGTGTGTGTAACTGTTATTAATAACACAATTGACTATATTTGCATGATTTAAATAATTGTAACTATATAATATTATCCTAAAAAATAATTTTAAATGTAGTAATTACAATTATTTTGTATCTATCAATATACACGACGATAATACAGTTTTGACTGTAAAAAAATATTAGATGTATATTTTTTCCATTTTCTCGAAATATTAATTAAAACGAGGTGAAGGACAATAAGAGTCAATTCGTAAGTAAACAAGAAAGCGATTATAACATTAAAAATATAATATGAATTTTAAAGAAAAAGAATACAATAAAATACTTAGCCGCTTTTGACAATATTAAAAATAAGAATATCGGTCAATATATAAAAAATCGCTCGATGTATAAATATGTCGTAACAAGTTTCGACTCTTGGTTTGAGTCCTCTTCAGACGTTCAACAAAAAATTCCTTATTCCAATATAATTAAGACAAAACATCTCTCACTGACTCCTCGATTTCTCTCTTCTCGAAATATTTTATCTAAATTGTTACTTATTTTTACTGAATTATTGCCGACATTGTACGTAAATTTAAAAGATTTTTCAAATTAGGATAATTCATAATGAATGTCAAAAGTCAATTTTTGTGTTAAAATTTTAAATAATGGTTAATAAGAGGTATCAAATATGTGTATTTTAATATAACGATACCGATAATATTGTTAAGAGTTACAAAATTCCAGTACTGAGCAGAACTCCGAGAACTTTTTCGTTTAGGTTCGTGTGGTCGCAGTAAAATAACTAGTGAACTTGTACGATTGTGCCTTACATCTTTCTTCAAGTCGCTCCTTCAGTGCGTAGCGTCATAAAATTCTAAGCGCGGTTTGAGGAATTTACAAGTTCGTGTTACAAGTAATCCTGCTAGACGGCATTCTTCGGCACGATTTCTCGGCCTCTCTCGCAACAGCGAATACTCAGATTCGATCGAGAAGCGGATTTTTCGCCCCGTGAACAAGCAAATTCGGACGAGAACCCATCGGTTTCTTAACGCGAGCTTATCTTAAACGTGCGGTACACGAGGAGGCAAGAAAGTAACGACCCGAGTGTCGTCGTCCTGGCGCCATTACATACAATGGAGTGGCGAAGGGTGGCAAGAGGGCCAGGACGAAAGGGGAGGGCGAGGGAAGGAGAGAGAAAAGAGAAGCGAAGAGAGCGACAGGGACGGCGGAGAAAAAGACAAACGAGAAACATGAGGTCCAGGGTCGATCCTGCATACGGTCAGCATCGGTCAGCAAGGGCACCGTGCCAAGGAACTGCAGACGGGTCTTAAGCTTCGTGCACAATGAATTTCACCGTCTGCGCACGATGGCACGGCATTCATCCTTCTACACAAATTCGTCGTTCCTCACGACGACATCTTATCGCAGGAGAATAGCTCTGACGTAATATGTTATTTATTACGGCAATGTAGAATCTGTGAAAAACCGTCTGTAAAGTGCGGTGGCGCTGCGTACAATGTGGTCGCGTCGGAGACTGGCGAGATAAGTCATCAAGATTCTCCTAGTTTTACAAGAATATTCTTAATTTCTCCTCTTTCATTTTCAACAGCAATTCAGATTGAAAGACTACAATGAAAAAAATAGTTTTGTTGAGGTATCTTAATTTGAAAATAATTTTTTCGGACTATTAAAATAATTAATTTAAAATTCAACAAGGATTCTTAGTATAAACAACAATCCATAATAATAAAAGGGCAAAGAAGAGTCAATTAACTACAAATAAAATAAAATAAAACTAATGACATATTTAATTCTAAATTAAGATTAAAAATTTACGATTTTACAAACAAATAATATTTAACTTAAAACTAACTAAAATTACAAAATCTACAATATTATTCATAAATAAGATGATTCGAATTCTGAAGAGGACTCAATCTAGGAGTCGAAACTTGTCAATTTTAATTTTAATTTTAAGCACTATATTATAGTTAGTTTTAAGTTAAATATTATTTGTTTGTAAAATCGTAAATTTTAATATAAGACTTGTAGCCTTAATTTAGAATTAAATATGTCATTAGTTTAATTTAATTTAATTTTATTTTTAGTTAATTTAAATCGACTCTTCTTTGCCCTTTTATTATTATGAATTATTAAAATGATTATGTAGGATGCTCAAACTGATTGTTAGAATATTAAAACGTTTTACAACATTGCTGATTCCCGTACATAGCTATTTTACTAGTCCAACAAAATTATCTTCAGATCCGTATGTAACTAAATTTTTAGACACTTCAGCAAAATCATTTTTTCTGTGTGGCATTCGAAAATCAATCACGTCTCGTGAGTTTTAACTTACCGTCGACCACTACGACTCTAACGATCGTATTACAAAACACAAAAGTCGCAAAATATCATTTTTGTCCCCTTCATCGATCGAACCATCGCGATATAACGTTAAACCGCGAATCATCATCCCACGTAAACCGACACTTCGCATCTTAAGAACACGTCAACCGCGAACATGTTACCGCAAGAGATGCACGCGAGACGTCCGTTACCACGTGTGAATATCGTTTGTTGATCCACGTCATCGTTCTAATGGCTAATAGAAGTCGATGGGAGAACGTTCGCGGAATGAAAGAGTCGCGATGAAGCGAGAGGAACACGAAGCAGCTTCGAACTTTCGTCGGCGAGCATGCCCGCGTGTGGTCGAGAGACGACCGGGCCCTTCGGGGGCAAAAGGTACAAAACGCCGGGCACCGGGCGAACCAGGCAAGGCGGCGATGCACACTATGCAACCGGCTGGTCGGTCGACGAACAAGCTAACCGATCCGACCGGGCATGACGCCAGTCCGCCCGCCGAAGCGTCGCTCGACGCGCGCCATACCGCTTCCCGTCCGTCACCCCGACGCGAGATTTGTAAGTTCGAGGTGGAAATTTCTTCAGTTTTTTTTTTTTTTTCTGTGAATTCAAGCATTCCCCATCTGGCTAATCTGTGAGAAAAACGTAGGAACTTCCAGAGCGCAAACAGGTAAAATAGAAGAATTTGAGAGACATCACACAGAGGTGACTATATCTCTGGAGTGTGATCAAGTAACTTTGTTTGATACGTTCGTTTGGAGTTAAGGATTTGAAATTAGGAAGGATGGAAAGTGACCTCCGGAGACTTTTCTCTGAACATTCTGAGGACAAAGTTCAACGCAAACGTCCAGGATCTTTCTGTTGTTAAACTTGAAGACACCACGCTTTGTTTGCACTTTCGAGGAAGTGAAGTGGAGACTTTTTCAAGTCGATGTTATAAAAGAAGAAATATCTTTTATACACTTAACACAACATGCGTTTATATTTAATAATTTTACATAGGGTGGTTGCTGCGAATTCCTCGTCCTAAAATTTCATAATTTTTCTTAAATTTCAATAATATTTAGAAACTTTTTATATTGTCGTTCTCTGACTTGGAAACCAAAATATTAAATATTTTGTTGAGAGAGCAATTCAACATAATAATGTAAATTACTATTAATGTTGCTGACACTGCTTGCATTTAATTGTTAAGTTGGTATAGTATTCCAAAATACTACGTACAGAGATGCGACGGGTATATAAAACTTCTTTAGAACCAAGAATTTTAATCTTCTTAAGAAAATTTCGTGACTTTTCCCTGATTTGCCCAGTTTCGTGGCAAACCCTGAATTATACATGAAAGATAAAAAAATAAAAGCCGACAGGCATTAAGCCGCAACAGAATGCGGCAAATTGAAAATTCCTCGGCTTTCTACAAGAACGCTGCTTGTTTAAGGAGGAATTGTCCTTGGCGATACAATGAGCAAACGTGAGCGTGCCTTTCCTTTTCGCGACGTGCTTCGCGTCGTACACCTCGCGCGCGGTCATGTTGACGTACTTGAACGCGTGGCGAAGGATTTAGGATTCGCTGAACGACCATTCCTGACAAGGGAATGCCGATCTCGCTCCGGTATATCTCGCGAATACAGATGGCACGACCTCGCGGCAAAGATATACCGCGACCGGCGAAGATTCCACTGGAATGCGAAAAGCGTACGAGCTATCTTTTGGGACCTCTGTCTGTTAAAATAAAGAAGGCGTATTTTCGTTTGCGCGAAGAAAACTACGATCCAATGGTGATTGCCACGAATTTCATTCGTACACCGTTCCTTCGCTGCAGCGATGCTACGTGCATCGAACCTCATCGGCATGACCTGTATCTGTTTGCGCTCGTCCGTGTCGATATGTCTATGAGAATTTGTACGTCGCCTCTGGCTCGTCGTCTCCCCCTCGGCCAGAGAGGCGTATTAGAAAATTGGAAAGTAATAGAAAACTATGGCGCGCCCTCCGTTTCTTCGCTTTTCTACGATCTTTAGAAATTCTTACGATGGCACACTATAGAGATACGACCGTTCGGCCAATTTGCTCGGAGCTTCGAAATTACTCTTGAAAGTCGAACGTTATAGATAAACACGAGAGTCTGAACTAGTTACCTTTTAAAATTGAGGGATATAAAAGAGAAGGAATGGTCAGAAATAAATATAAAGGTTCTTACATAATACTTTTGTATCGAGCGACGCAAATTTAAGCTAAAGGGATAGGTAACACATCACTCAATAAGTCCCGGGCCTGACATAATAGATGGCGCACTAATAACAAATTCATATGATTTTTAGAAAGTACTAAACCTTCAAACATACGTGTCAAAATTTTAGCTCAATCGAACCCTTACTTTACAAGTTACAGTGATTTAAGTGACGCTACTTTTGCATTTTTCAAAACAATGGAAAAATCTTAATTTCGTGTGTTGATGAAGTATTGCTTCCTGATGGGAAAAAATACCGTTCAAGCAAAGCAATGGCTTGATAAGTGTTATTCGGATTCTGCTCCGTCGGAAACAACAGTTAAGAGGTGGTATAATGCTGACTTTAAACACGGTCGTAAAAACACAAATGATACTGAACGCTCTTCAGTATCATTGTCACCCAAATTCGACAAAAGTAACGTCATTTAAACGATTATAACTTGTAAAGTAAAGGTCCGATTGAGCTAAAATTTTGACACGTTTGTTTGAAGGTTTAGTACTTTCTAAAAATCATATGGATTTGTTATTAGTGCGCCATCTATTATGTCAAGCCCGGGACTTATTGAGTGATGTGTTATTTATACGCGATCAGAAATAAATTTTGAATTTTATTTCACTGACGAAATAATATCGATACACAAACGATATTGTTTGACGTGAATGCAGGCAGGATACTCAGCTGAATGAGTCACGCAGTTACACGTAAATTGATAGCGTGTCACTTATTATTATTTATTTACGCAATTGCCTCGCGCAACGCAAATATTCAACAAATTACTGTTCGATAACCGTTGTTATTTCAGCAATTATTTGTATCGCGTTCCATTCCACTATTTACGTCGCGTTGCCTTCCGTCGTATTACACGATCTGGTCATCCGCCTCTCGCCTCGCCTCTGAAGCTACCACAAATCCAACCGTAAAAGCCGCTAAAACGTAGCGGTTTGGGAACACAGGGGGACGAATGCAAAATGGCAGACGGAAAGAGATCGGCTAAGCGGTAATCCCCGTTTGCCTAGGCTCTCGCCGAGAAATTCTGCAGCAGTTAAAAAGAGTTTGCGTACAATCTCGCAGACACAACTGACATAAAACCACCGGCTGAAATTTCGATACAGCTAAACGAGCTACCGTCGTGTAATTCGGGCCAGTGCGGCTCGCCGCACATTCTCTATTTCTCGCATTCACGTGAAATCTGTTTCCGACCAGTTTCCATTGCACTGTTTTATTAGTTATGGTCCACAAAACTAGATGACGTACGTATATTCTATATTTCTATGTATATATCTTTATTACATTGACGCGATAGTTTATTGGTTTACGTAGGCGAGGAAAAATATGTGAAAGGGAAAAATATGTCAATGATATATATAAACAACAGTTGTGTATATTGCATATTCTGAAAGATCTCACTGAATCGGATGATTTAGTTTAGGACAATACATCAGCTACAATATTTCTACATTGGCGCAGCTGTGAAGTGTTGATGGTAATTTAAAGCCTATGGCACATAGAAAAACGTAAGGTCGTAAACGTAATCAGTAAGCGAATTGACCAATCACAGTTGAGAACGTAAGCGGCCGCGATCAATTCGCTTACTGATTACGTTTACGGCCTCACCGCATTTTTCTATGTGCCATGGGCTTAACTCGTACTACGTCGATGATAATATTTTCTCCTCTTCCATGCCAATCAAATCCACCGTATATGCTCGGTGTGTTCCGTATATAATTGCAAAATTAATCCATCGCTTTGCTTTCTCTAACAAAAGCCTCGTCCTCTCATTTTCTCCGTTTCGAAAGCTCACGCGGTCCCTTGAGCAATCCTCGCGGCTCTATGTAACGTAACATTTCCGTATGTCACAGCTCGATTACCCTTGCGTTGTTTGCGTGTATGGCTAACGAACGATTGCATGCCTCGACAGAGTAACATCAGCTCCCTGAGAGCGGATGCCAGCGGCAGGCTGGTGACGCAGGCTGGCGCATCCGGGCTGGTACGCGTTTCCGCCGGCGAGCTCCTCGGCAGGACCCACGAGGAACTGGTGCTGCTGCTGATCCAGCTGCGACGTCAGAACGCGACGGTCCTCAAGGCGATGGAGACGTGCCACATGGAGATCGAGGCACAGGTCCGAAGAGAACTTTTGCACACGATCTCACGAAATTTTCACAGTACAATTAGATGAGCCACGGACGGTGACGGTGACGGTGACGATGGCGGCCGTGGGCCCCTTTAGGGCCGCAAATCGGAGCCGTCTGGAGGACGGGGACACGTCGTAGGCTCCTCGAGCTCGAGGAGCGTCGCTTTTAACGATTGCTTTAATGTGTTAGAGAGAAAGAGAGAGGCAGAGAGAAAGAGATAATTCGCTTTGACAGACGACCGTGCAGTTTGACGAGATCTTTCAGGATGTGTTAGAACAGATCGATGTGTTGTAGATGCACGCAGATTGCGAATGACGATAATACGATATGAGTGATCGATATTATTTCTTCCTTTGTTGACAACGTGACGTAACGCTCGCGCGCAAATAAACGGATTGAACGTATTCAATTACGCTTTACGGACTTCGCGTTCCGCAAAGTGTAGTTGACTACTAGGCAAGCGCGATATACATTGGTTCTTTCATGTCCTATATTTAGTCCCGAGTCTCGACTCGGAGTTTCATGAACTATTGGACTAAAAAAAATCACGATCTGTAAAGAGAGAACATTGTTCAGACGACTATGTTCAACGTCAAATGTAGGACATAGAGGAATATACACCTGTGATCTCGCGACGTGCAAGATTCGAGTAGAAAGTCAAGTCGAACTTAGGGTCGCCTTTCTACGCAAATATGTGTTTATTGTCCGGCTTTATTGCGTTGTATGTCATGAAGTTATAACGTGTCGCTTAACGCGCGAAAACGCAAATGTTGCTTGTATTCGCACGCGGAGAGCAAAATGATCTCTAATGCAACGCGATAAACGTTTCGTGTATTTTGTTTGCACCCGCAGGCTAGACTGGCGGATCTCGACACGCCGAGACGGCTAGAAAATCTTCAAAAACTCGAGGAACTCAAGAGGCACCTGATGGATCTCGAGAAGCAGGTGAGACATGTGAGATATATCTTGCGGAGGTTTGCCTCGAAATATTTACGTAGATATGAAACGATGGATTCAGTAATCAATATATAGCTTAGAAAAAGAATAAATAGCTTAACTTTGAAGATTTGAGAGGAATTAATGTAAAAATTTAACAAATTGTAATCTTCTGAAATTTTAAAAAGTAGCTGTGAAATCATTGTCCTATTTTTCAAACTTGATTCTCCGTCTTTCGATAACGTTCATCAATATAGATTTAAAATATTAATTTAACTGATACTGTTTCTATAAGTATTAGTACACATTATATTCAGGGGGGGGGGGGAATGGAAAGTTACTTTTTAAAAGTAACAAGTTACAGTTACTAGTTATCGCTTTTTAAAAGTAACTCGTTACAGTTACCGTTACTCGAAAGGTAACTTTTCGTTACTTTTTAAAAATCAGTCTAAAAATGTACTTTTGCAGTGTTTTTTGTTTAAATGTTAATAAAAGTAATATATATATAGCATGTATAACACTGACACTATGTAGGAATTTTTTTATACTTTGCAGAAAACGAGAAGATTATATAGGATTGTATAGGACTATCTGAATTACAATATGAGTTAGAAATTAAAAAGAAAATTAAGAAATACACATAACCTCTTTATTATAATATAGCTATATTTTCACTTAATCTATACTTTTGGCTCTAAATGAAATATTTTGATAGAAAAAAAATTATAACGCTATAATTAAAATATATAACAGAAATTTTGCAAAAAGAGGTGTTTTCCAATTGCTTAACATAAATGTACACAGAAATGTACAGAGTAAAGCTTTGTACACAGCTCAATTAGAACAAAATATGTACGATGTTTAGATTAAGGTAAACTAAATGTATAGCTTTTACGCTATTAAATAAAAACACGCAGTGTTCTACAACCACATTTATAGCTGTCGTAATTAATAACATGTAATCGTTATGTAACGGAATAACGTATCCAATCGTATGCAAAGTAACGATAAAAGTAACTGTAAATTTCATTACCATTATCCAAAAAATGTAACTACGTTACCGTTACAGTTATCAAAAAAAGAAAGTAACGCAGTTACCAAAAAAGTAACTTGTAACTGTAACTTCGTTACAAGTAACGAGTTACTTCCATTCCCTGATTATATTACACATTAACATTTCTATTGCACATTAAAAAGTACTTTAAGTTTAATCATGTTTGATTTTTCTTAAAAAAGTACGAGAAGAGCAAGCCTCTCGTGAACCTCGTGGACAATATGGTGAAGCTGGGCTCTTTGTATAATCGTAACACTGCCAACGGGACCAGCAGTGTTTCCGGTTCTCGACACGATCTGCACGAGAACGCGAGGGATCACCGCGACCGTCTGGAATTTAACCAAAGGATACAGGAACAGCGACTGTTGGCCGAGGAGCGCAGAGATTGGGACAGATTGAGTCCCGATCATGGACAGTTGCAGGTAATTCATATTTAATTATCATGTCACAAAAATTCGAGCGTTCAATTAATGTGGATATACACGGTAGAAATCACTATATTAATTGAGATTCTTATAAATACCATAATATACTTATACTTTCGCAGCGTTAGAAACATTTCGAAGAAATACGTTAATTAAAAATGTGCGATCTCATAAACGGAATGTCTCGATTATTAAAGTACATATATTCTTCGCTTTCTCAATCTCGTCAGATATCGCCCGTGAAATACGTTTTACTCGTTCCAATTTCTGTCTCTTATGTCTCGTATTATTACATTCTTTCCGCAATGTAATACTCCGTGCTAAGAAAGCGTGAGGTGCATCAGACATGGAAGACTTCTTGACCAATGAAAGCAATTCCCAATCTCTCGCGTGCTATAATACTAAACGAAATCCACAGTGCACGGATTGTAAAAGGCCGATCGGAAAAAGGATACGTGCAAAAATTAAGAATTACTCTCGCAGACACAACCACAAGAAAGACCGAACTCGGACGACACTTACGACCTCTCGTAAATTCTGCGAAGAGCTCACTTTACCGAAGGATATACTTTCTAGACGAGTCAAGTCTCTACGGACAATGTCCATTTAAGTGTCTTACTTCTCGTTTCTTTCTTATTATTTGTCCGAGTCCTCAAGACTTTTCGACAATCACGTACTTTATTCACCGGTCGAAACTTAATTAAGCATATTCCGCTAGAATAACGAAATTAATCTACAAAAGTGAATTAATTTTGTTAGTCAACCTTACAAATGCATTTCCGTGCGATAAGCAAACAAAAAAAGAATAAAATCGAATGAGAAAGAAAATGAAAAAGACATCCTTTTATTTCCTTTTCAGTAATATTCAATTTAACTAATTATTGTGAATAATAATCTCATTGACTTCAAAGAGGTTCAAAATAATTGCTATATGTGAAAACATACAATAATATTACAGTAATAAATTAAAATTATGTGTCGCAATAAAGAATATTATCAAACATAATATTATATATTAAAATAACATAATATTATCGAATATAATATTGTTGAAATAAAAAGATCTCTTTGACCAATATTTTTCACACGTTACTCGCGAAGGAATTTCATTTACGAACAGAAATAGAGACGAGCGTTGAGAAAATAGAGATTCTGGAACGTTGTTCTAGAATTAACGATGGCAGATCTCCCTTTTCTCTGAGATCTGCTCCAATTGAAACGTTAGCTTGTCCTTTGAACAGCGAAACTTGAAGGTTTCGTCGTTCACTCGATATCCTTTCTATGTCGTAGGCCAAAGTGCAGCAGCTTTACAAACTCGATCGACTGCTTCAGGAGGAATCTGGCACACTGCATAGTCTTCAGCAAGATAAGGTTGGTATCAGCAATAATAATCACTTAGAATAAAGCCTTTTAAAATGCTCGAAAAGTTTTGGAAGAGTTTTCGCGTATTCGCACTTGGAAAATGCAATTATAACGATCTCCCACCAAATTTCTTCTAGAAGAAATGCATTCTGTAATATTTTTGAAGATAATTCCATCGAATTTGACTTGAAGAGTTCCGAGTAATCCCGTTCACACAAAGACCCGCGATGTGACATGTTACATCCTCCACAATTTTAGAGGAGAGTCGATGTCGTTATTTGCTCGGAACTGAAATGACGTTGTAACAATAAACTGCGAAATGACAGCGGTTGTCCTTAAACTCAAGATATAGAAATCTACAAGATCATATTACACGCTTGGTCGACTTAATGCTTGCAGGAAATACTCGAGAAAGCTTTGGGCGGGTTGCGCCACAAACTGCAAGGTAGCAGAAGCAATTTGGCCGAAACGGAGCGATATCGGAAGCAGCAACTCCTGCTGGAACGCGAACTGAGCAGAGTGAGGATACTGCTCGCCCATAACTCGAAGGTAGATATAATTTTGTAAACGTATACCCTTGACAGCCGCGCTAACACGCGCTTCCGCCTTCCTGCATTCCGATTGATCCACACGTGAATGAATCTATTAAAAACCGATGTAGAGACTGATTGGCAAAAAAAAAAACCAAGTAAATTGCGCGTCAATCTGGATTTCAAAATGCGAGTAATTGCTGCTCGTAATTTTTCGTATGTTTTTTTAACGTCGTGAAACGTACTGAATATTCAAACGCGCTTCATTGTTGCCGATGTTTCTGCTAATAGAAAATTTTTTGACGATTCGAAGTCACTCATTTATCAATATTTGAATTTGAAGTGAACGTCTGTTTCACCATTTTATCGTGCTTTTATTAAGTTCTCGTCTTTTATTATTCTTTGCCAATCTCTGAATTTGCGATATCGTGAAAATAGTAGTAACACAAGAAGATGTAGTAGCACGAGAGAATGTAAATGACGAGAGTAAATTGTATTACGTATCGCAATTAAAGTCTCGATTCACTGTTTCCAGGTAAAACCGGTATTTTTCCAGGTAAATTGCATTATTCACAACATTATATCATTCAGTTCCGTCATTCGCCGTTTAGTTGCCATTCTCGTAATGTGACAGAGTCGGCTAGCGTTCAAAGTCGCGCGCATTCTCAACCTGATAGTCCGCAACTCTCTCACGTGCTTTACAGAAACTTGAGGAAACGGTCGCCGAGAACGCGAGGTTGGAGCAAGATTTGGTGGTGTTGAGGCAAAAGGTGCAAGCATCCAGAAGATACGCCGGTAACGTCGCGAGGGACACTTCGAGCACGACTGCACCGCTGGAAGCGGAATTACGACGAGTGCAACAACTCGTCGGTGATCTACAGAGACAGAGGAAGGAACTGAGCATTCAAGTTCGCCAGCTGACAGAGAAATCTCATAGTTTGGTGCAGCAAATTCACCCGCAACCACCGCACGGTAAGTCCAACAATATCAATGTAAGCTGTCGGAAGCATCAAAATTTCAAAAAAGACTAATATTGATTCAAGATGATTCTTCAAACTTAATCAAATACTACAAAATTCATATTGTAATGCACACTATGATTATATTAATCAAAATTTATCATATTATTATTTTATCCAGCTCGCCTAATAATTGGCTCAATGCTAAGCTAAACGCTTCCATTTCTCCATCGTCTCAATGAACAGAAAAAAAAAACAAAGCAGAATGTATATACACACACACTAAAGCTCTGCTAATCACTGGGCAGAATTTTAGCGTCTACTCTTTTTATTTCTACTTATTTTATTTCTATCTCGCTCAACTCTAGTTACTAAAACTAAATATCGATGAGAACATGCCGTAACGGTCAAGCTAGATCTTGGATGCTTCTAATAATCTAATATATAATTTCGTGTGAATTTATATACTGCGTATGTAGATTCTTAAATGCGCTCCGAAATTTTTTTTTTAAACTTACAACGCAAATTCTAATAAACTACCGCAATACTATCACTTAAATTCAGGGAAGTAACTCGTTACTTGTAATAAAGTTACAGTTAGAGTTACCTTTTTTCAGTAACTGTAACTTAACTTCGTTACTTTCTATCCATCTGTAATTATAACTTAACTTATTGTTAGTTTCATTTTTTAAGTAACTAATTTAATTATTATTTTCATAGTTAATTTATATATTTTCTTATTTGTCAATTTAGTGCGCGGTAGTGTCCATTTGGCGCTATAATATAATGACAGCTTTGAAACATTTAATTAATCGGAAGAAAGAAATTTCATTAAAGCGTTCAATAAACTTTTATACCTGTTTGGTCTATATTTTTGAATCTAATGAAATCCGTTTATCAAATGCAAAAGCACTCAATGAATTGTAGTACTAAATGCACCTGATCACTGAACCATTGTTTTCTGAACGCAATCACATAACCCATTTTTTGGATTGGTGCTGGAATTTATTTGCAACTTTTAGCCGAATATAAAAGAATTTTTTTTTACAAAAAACATTGTATATGTGTGCTTTCATATTTATATTCATATTCATATGCGTTTATATTACTTTAACGAAAAACATCTTTGCCAATTTTCGTATCTTTTTGAATAAAATTGTATAACGTGTAAATGTAAATCTTTAACAAGAGTAAAACGATACACGAAGGTAGTCGAGTAATGTTTCTGAATACTGTCGTAATGGTATCAACGTGTTACTAGTGAAAATTCCGATAAAAAAAACTCAACAGTAACTTAAAAGTAATTCAAAGTTATTTTTTCAGTAACTGTAACTGTAACGAATTACTTTTCAGAGTCAATAACTTGTAACAGTAATTAATTACTGTTTGAAAGAGAAAAACTGTAATTGGAATTAATTACTTTTGCAAAGTAACTTTCCCATCCCTGGTTAATTGACTAACAATCTAACAATTTTGATGCTCATAGCATCTTGGATCTTAATAATGTTGAATGACATATTAAAATCTATGAATGACATATTAAAAATCTGTAAATAATTATATTGCGAAAAATATTACCTTGACCAGAAGTCGAACTCGGATCTCTGGCATCCGTGCGAGAATTAACTCGTGATAATACTGTGGTAGTTTATTAGAGTTTGCGGTGTAAGTCTGAAAAAAAAAAATTTTGGCCTCATTTAAACATCTATATATGTAGTATATAAATTCACACAAAATTATATATTAGAAGCATCCAAGATCCAACTTGACAGATACTTTTAATTTTAAACTGTCATGGTTCAATAAGATTTGATATTCTAGTTACTAAGCAAAGCTCTAAAAATGATTTTAATCACTAGTAAATGCATAGTGCTTATCCTTGTATACAAATATATATTGCACATAAAATAGTATTTGACAGCTGATTATTTGTTAAATATTAAATCGGGATGACGTTTAGAAAATGCGATTTTTTCCCCCTAGCTCCTCAAGTGCATCATTCGAAGAAACGTACGCAAAATTCTTGGTTGGAGACTGATTTAGATTCCGGAATAACTCTGGACCATGGTTTGGATTCGCCGTCGAGTCCGTCTTTATCTATCTCACCACCAAACAAACAAAACGATAACTCCCACCAACGATACGGCTCTCCTACCCAATACAAGGATTTATCCCCATTGAATCGCCCGCATAATCAGCAATCGTTCGTGCAATCCTCACAAAATCACATATCGACGCTCTCGCCGCAGTTGCGCGAACAGATTCAACAACACCAATTAAAGCAGCAATTATTGAAAGATCAAATGCAGGGCAAGGGTAACGCGATTCAAGTGGTACCCCTATACGTTAATACGGATTCGAGAGTGGCAGGTAATATTCTTGTTGGATTATGACGAAAATTTATTCTATTAATATTAACAGATATCGGTATTAATAAACGTTCTCGTCTATTTGGATAAATAACAATAAATATAGTAATTAGCGTAATCATAAGTTAATTCTGATATTCAAATATCGATTTGTGTATTTTTAACGCAAGGCGATTACGTCGCCGACACGAGTAAGCATAACGGAAACGTAATGAATGGCACGTTAAATCCCGCTCCGGAATATATCCCGCCACCGCCGCCCCCTTTGAGCGAGGAAGCTTTGTTATTGAATGATAATTATAGACAAAATGAGGACAACAAATTTGCTGGTAAGTCGCTTGTTCCACTGCGGAAATATTAAGTCTGGCGCAGAACATTGGAAGTTTCATTCTCTCTGCGCTTTCGCAGGATTAATGCACAATCGCGAGAAGCAAGAGATTAAGACAGTGCGCATAGTGAAACGCGAATCGGAAAGGCGACAAAGAGACCGCGGCGACAGAATCGGCAATCTCGGAATTCCTCTGACGAACGGTCTCCAGGCACCAGGCGGCGCGAAGAGATTGTCCGACGATGATTTCGGAGGCTCCCAAAAATTCGAAGTAAGATTGTCTTGTCTTCGATTACGCGTCTTTTCAAATAAATTTTAAAAAAAATTATTAAATCTCAATACATACTTCTTCGAATAGTACTAAATAATAAATAGCATTTATTTACAATAAATAAATATTTACTCAATAAAAAAATGGTATAGTTAAATCAATAAATTAATCATTTTTATATCAAATAAATATATATTTAGTAAATGTTTACTTAGAACTATTCTAACAAGTATTTATTGAAATTTAGTATTCTTTTCAGTGTAATCAAATCTAATAAAAAAAAACATCGATTTCTTTAAACCTTTGCTAACGCGGATCTTTTAACATCTAGAAGGCTCAGCTTGGCAGAGTAGTGGAGGAATCACCGATTGTTCACGCACAGAGCACGGTTCAACTGTCCGAGCTGGACGATGTTCAATTCCAAAGAAGTATGTCCCTGCCACGTGGTTTTGGCGGACAAAAACAGCAGACTGGAATACACTACGGACCCGTGATACCTCCACCGCGAAGCGACAGTATGCACGCCCTGAAGAGCATGATGGCACGTCGGCATAAAATTAGGGTAAGTCCTACCAGTGACTCTTGATACCTAAAAAAAACACATTCCAGATTACCTCTCAGGTCAAAATCCGTACAACAAAACCTTACTTCTGCACGTTTGGTGGTGTATATATATTTTTGCGAATATTATTGATAATTTTATCCTACCCCGAGCAGCTTGACGTTCGTCTAGCTCGCCCGTTTTTCGTTAATCCCTTCGATCCCGGCATTTTACAATTTTTTTTGACGCTCCCATCGCAGTTCGAAAGTCACGACGGCAGCTCCGATAGCACTCTGTCACCGTACACGGATAGCCCAACGTCCAGCTCCCATATGCCGATGAGCTCTCCCAACTACTCAACCGCCTCGTCATACAGCCCATGCCAGAGCCAGAATTATCCGTCGCAAGCGACGATGGTCGCCGCGCAGTCTCACTATAACAACTACTCGCTCGGACCGTACAGGCAATACGAGAAAATCGGCACTCTCGCGGGTGCCATGAGCCCCGAATTAACATCGCCGACTAACGTCGGCGTTCACGAGAGACCGACTACCGCAACGACGGCGAACACAAACCAGTCCGAGTCGCCGCAATTGTCGCCGGTGTTCAAGAGCGAGGCTGCCAAACAGATTATCAAAGAGATGACGGAGAAGAGGGTGGAGGGACCGAGACGAAGGCAGATTCCTCGAGAGAAAAGACGGCACTACACTGTGTCTAGTAGCAAACCGGTGCTCGATCTAGAGGATACTTTCTCGAAGATGGTATTTTTGTTTCATTCAATTTCTGTTCTCTCATTTCCCTATCTTTGTCTACCTCTGTCTCACTTGGTCTATTTCCTGTCACTGACTTTCATCGCTGCGCTGTGCCGTGCTACCATCGTGGCAGTTTCGAAGATCTTAATTTTTCGCCTATACGTTACGAGAGTCTTTGATCATTTCTAGGGCATGGGTAGAGCCAGGGACGATTTGGACATGGAGAGAGCGCTCAGGCCCAGGATAAACGCCCCTGACGTGGTGCGATCGACGTTAAGTCAGAAGGAGTTGAAGTATAACGAGAGTACTATAGACCAGCTGTTAGGCACGCCTAATAAAATCGTTATTCCCGAGAGATATATTCCTGAACAGGTATTTATAACTTGTACCCATTGATTTAAATTTAAATTAAATTTTATAAAAATTAATTTAATTACACTTTGCTTTTAATATAAATCTAAAAATCGAAAAGGTTATATGTTAGAAATTTCTATCATGAAAGATAATATATTTAATTTTATCATTTACCATATATCAATTTATAAATCACACACATTCTACGAGATATTAGAGAATTGTATGTACAAATAATATAATTGAATCATTATTGAATAAATTAAATTAAGCTGAATGAATCTATATATATGTATATATATTATACATAAATATTATTATTTTATCAGACGCCGGAACTGACAGCTGAAGAACAAGAGCAACGCTTGAAGAAGGCGGAAGCAATTAGGAAAATGCTTTCAGAAACAACCGTAACTGCACCGGAAGGAGGTGGTATGCGATATTTTTTCTCTGATTATTTTTTTTTTTAATTACCATTGTTTGTAATAATGATTATAAAAATATTTGATAAATATATATGCATCTGATTTCAGACGATGATTCTAACGTAGAAAAATCGGACACCTTGAAGCGTAAAGTAGTGGAAGAAAAACGGCAAAGGGAACACATTCTCCAACTTAATCAGATACTGGCGAAGCAAGTGATGGAGAAAAGTAAAATGGTGGCGGGTACGTGTCGATAAGCATTCCAAGTACGATCGCTGCATGATTGTAATCATTTTTTATGTATAGCTATGGCAGCATGTTCGTTTCGTTTAGCTCTCAAAAAACAAAACGTGTTTCTTTATCACACTCGATCAATGATGAGTGCAGTTTCACATTTTCTGTATCTGGTACAATGATTTTTATTTTTCTATCGCTTAACAATGTTCTGTAATACGTCGCAAACACCTCGTCACTATAGTCGCAATCGTTCGTGACAGCCAATCAAAAGCGTCAATAATTAGTGTTGATGCAATTCTGATAGGCTATCGTAAAGCATTGGCGACAGAGCGTTTGCGCATTGTAGAACGCCCTTTACAGAAGCGTTTGACGTCATTGCTAATGTTCATTTGGTTTGAGTTGAGCAATTTATATCGCGCATATATTCACGTAATCTTTTTACAGATGCGAACGCATGTATTACTTGAGTTATGTGCTATTTTTATACGATTTGATTAATGGCTTTTGTTCAAGATAATGAATATAGTCTCGTCTTACTTAGAGAGTATGAATTGTTGTTTGGATTGTTTTGTGCTTGTGTGTATATAGGTAACCAGGCACACTGACCGACATTGCTTACTCCATCCCTCCCTATAGGACACGCACGACACATTATCATTTTCAGGTTTGTTTTTTCACCTTTTTTTCGTCTTTTTTTTTCTCCTATTTTTTCCTCTTATCAAGCTAAGCAGATACGAGTGCAATATTACTTCTATCAATGTACGTTTATTGAAATAATTCTTGTGTTATACAAAAAACGATAATCAGTAGAAACAGTCGAGATATAAATAAAGAAATAAAAATATATAAAATATTAAGAGCATTGAAGATAACAAGACTCCATTTTCAATAAACGTATTAATTTATTGTTTATAATTGCTTCATCATGTCTCGTTCACCAACAGTGAAAGCTCTAGCAACGCTTCCTCTGAAAACTGAATCAAGCTTAGACGATGAGGATCTCTCGCCAGTGGCTCCTTTACCGCTTTATCAGCAAAGAGAAAACTTCTATTCCTAAGCATCGCTCCAAGAATACAAACAAAAGCACAAAACTACTGCCAATACAAAGAACAAGAAAGAAAATAAACAGAGGGAGGAACTTTTTCTCCAAACGACTAGTTAAGAAAACGTGTGGAAGTTCGTGCAACATACGGAGAAAGTGCTTTTTTTTTGCGCACTGATTGTATTGTACATAATGATCGACTAAATAATACGGTAATATAAGTAGTTGTCATTATTTGTTATGTATGATAAGAGCTCGTAACGTACAAATACACACGAAGAAGCGTGTACGAGGAAAGCGCAGATATCGGCAACTGCGATAGAAAGGACTGTCAATGCATTATCAAAACGGAGCTCATCCCTTTTTAAGCACTAAATCGAACGACATCGCGACTTATTGTCATTTTTTACTGATTCAGGCGCTCGGCCATTAAATAAAAAATCCTGGCAGACGCCAGACCTTATCCGCGCGACGAATCTAATATTCCGGGCGATATATTCCGGCTTTGGAGAAACCTTTTACCGCGTCTCTTCGCAGATCGAAAGTTCTTTTTCGAAAGTTTTCAAATCGTATCACGTATTTGTAAGTACAAGAGACTGTAAAACCCACTCGACTGAGAATCTGGTTTGGATATATCGTTATGTCCTTTCCCGTTTTACGTACAATCATTTTCACGAGGCAAACTTTTATATGTATAACGTCGACAAACGAGACTTGCGTATCCTCGCCGAAGTGTCTGTGAGCGAGGTGATATACCATTAGATTTAACGGCGTGACAAGACTCTTCATTTTAGCGGCGACAAACAAAAGCATGCGATTGTAACGCATGCAATGCGACGACATTGGAATGGAATGGGCTTTCTACAATAAAAGTCGTTATCTAATTATAAACTTAAGAGCTAAGGAAATCAACGTGTTGGATTGCTTACGTTACGATTTTACGGACTCTGCTGTAATTGGCTGTAATTAAACCGTAAGAAACTGAGCAATCGCAATTGAATGAGAGGAAAACAATTGATTGACCATAATTGGTAAATTTCTTATGATTTAAAACTCGAAGATCAGATAATGATTTATTACAAGGCTCATAAAAAAATTGACCAAACATAATCGATTATTCATAATCGACTGTGATTTCTTATGGTTTAATCTATTATGGCCCGGATCTACAATAAGTGTTTTAAGCCTTAAACCGTAAGAAATTAATTAATTACAGTCGAATTCGAGGAGAATAATCGATTATGATTCGTCCATTTCTTATGGCTTATTAAGACTTAAAACTCTATTGTAGATCCGGACTTATAAGGCTCCTCAGTAGTCACCACAACTATATTGAATCGTAATGTTAGAGGCGAGAAATGACACGTTAATTTTTACTACCTGCTATTTGTAAATAAAGACAATTTGGATAAAATAAAATGACAAGATTGCTTTAAAACAATTGTAAAAATAGACGAAAGCTATCCGTATCTTTATTTCTCTCGACAGTCAGTAAACAATCATAAAAAATGATAAAAGACACGTGAAGTACTTTTATTCAATACACATGCGTAGCCTATTTTAACTTACACATATCTTATTACTTTTTATGATTATTTACTGATACTGTCAGGAAAGGACAAGCAGAGCCGTAGCTACCGGGCGGGCAATGCATGTATCACACGCAGGCGCTTTTTACAATTAATATATATTAGGTGTACAAATTAGTTCGGTCCGTTTTTTGTGTTCCAAATGCATTTATTTCAAAACAAAATGAATGAACAGATTAATTAAAGTATTATCCATCGCTGGCTACTGCTTTTTCTCATCTCTCAGGCAATTTTCGAATTCCATTTCGAAAAAATAACTCGTCTTTGGAGGCAATCATCTTTTGGAAAACGGACCGAACTAATTTGTATGTTACTCCCAATAATATACTAGACTAGCATCACTAGTGTTCGTGTTTTAGAAAAACTCCATATTAAAACTCAGATTAGTGGATTTTATAATAATTTTATAATAATTTTATTCAATAATTTTGAATCAGTGGATAATCAGAGCAATCCTCCTTGAGGATGGCTAAAAACAATAGCCGAAATGTCCAAATGTCTATGTAATTACATAATGTGTTTATTAAAAACTCTTTCTACAAATTTGCGCTTTGATTATCGCGTTGACTCCATATTAGTCAAATTTAATTTTTTTTCTTTTTTATTAAATTATAAACAGTCCGTTATTAATTATTGTATTGTATTCCTTTACTTTATGTAATATGAGGGGGAGGGGCGTCTAGTACCAAGCTTACACGCAGGCGACTTTATACCCAGATACGGCCCTGAGGACAAGCATAGTTTTTGCCCATTTTTACAAATATTTTAAAATGATTTCATCATTTTGTTTTATCCAAATTATCTTTATTTGATACGTAACAAAACTTAACATGTCATTTCTCGCTTCTGACATCACGATTCATGGCTGTGGCAACTACTCAGGAGTCT